TGCATCTCCAACACACCGGCGCACGGGTCAAAGTGAACACATACCCCGTAGTAGACCGGCGCTTATCCAAATCCCCGGCATAATCCGAATCAACATAGCCAATGCATAGCTGCCCACCTGTAGTGTCCCGCTCATAAACCAAACCAACATTGAGCGTACCTCTAATGTACCTCAAAATCCATCTCACGGCGTCCCAATGACCCACTCCTGGATCGTGCATGTATCTCGACACCATGCTCACTGCCTGTGACAAATCCGGCCTCGTACATACCATCGCGTACATCAAGCTCCCAACTGCGCTCGCATATGGAGTCTTCGTCATCAACTCACGGTCTTCAACTGACTTCGGTGAAAGGCCAGCTGAAAGCTTCAAATGGGCTCCCAACGGTACACAAACTGGCTTCGTATCCATGCTAACATGGAATCGCTGTAGAACCTTCTTCAAATAAGCCACCTGTGTCAAACAAATCCTGCCCTTCTTCTTATCTCTGCCGATCTCCATCCCTAAAATGCGCTTCGCCTCGCCCAAGTCCTTCATCTCAAACTCATTCGAAAGCTGAACTTTCAACTCATCTATAGCTGACCTGGAACTAGAAGCAACCAACATGTCATCGACATAAAGCAACAAATAAATGTACGCACCTCCTCTCAACTTGCGAAAATACACGCAAGGATCAAACTGGCTCCGAGTGTACGAATGACCAAGCATAAAACCATCAAATCGCCTATACCACTGTCGAGGAGACTGCTTCAAACCGTATAGCGATTTCTTTAGCCTGCAAACCAACTTATCTTTCCCTGCAGCTCGGAATCCCAATGGCTGAGTCATATATATTTCTTCATCAAGATCACCATGAAGAAATGCTGTCTTCACATCCAACTGATCTAACTCCAATCCATACTGTGCCACCAAAGCTAGCAAAATCCGAATCGACGAATGCTTCACCACCGGAGAGAAAACCTCATTGTAATCAATACCTTCCTCCTGTGCATAGCCCTTCGCAACCAACCTAGCCTTGAACCTCACTGGAGTGCCCTCAATGCCCTCCTTCTTCGTGTACACCCACTTGCACCCAATCGCCTTCCGCCCCTTTGGAAGCTCTACAAGCTCCCATGTATCGTTCTTGTGAAGAGACTCCATCTCCTCCTGCATAGCCACCTGCCACGAATCAGCCTCCGAACTCTGCTCGGCCTCTCTGAATGTAGTAGGCACCATCTCATCGATACTCTCCACCGGAAGTGCATATGCAACTGTGTCGGCATACCGTGCTGGCACCCGTATGTCTCTCCTCTGTCTCCGTGCCGCAATAGAATCCTGAACCTGAGCCGTCGGTCCCTGATCCTGCTCATGAGTACCCGTATCCTCCGCATCACCGTCGTGCTCGCCTGGCGTCACCTCAGTCGGCACTCTCATGGATACTGCACTATCTGGACTCTGTGGAGCTGCATCAATCTCCACCACCTGCGAAATCTCCTCTGTCGGGTTGCTCTCCACCTGATGAGAGCTGGGAAGCTTCAAGATAGAAGCCTCATCGAATGTGACGTCCCTACTCAGCACAATCTTCTTATCAACTGGATCCCAAAGCTTGTATCCCTTGACACCACGCTTGAATCCTACAAATATGGCCTTCCTAGCTCGAGGTTCCAACTTATCAGTTCTAACATGATAATATGCAGGGCAACCAAATACCTTAAGCTGGTCATAGTCATGTGCTGTCTCTCCCGACCACATCTCCATAGGGGTCTTCCCCTCAATCGCAGATGAAGGCAGCCTGTTAATGAGGTGGCTCGCATAAGAAAGTGCCTCAGCCCAAAAGATCTTCTCCAAACCACTATGCGCCAATAAACATCGAATCTTCTCCAGCAAAGACCGATTCAATCTCTCTGCCACCCCATTCTGCTGCGGTGTATGACTAACTGTGAAGTGCCTCTCTATGCCCTCGTCTCGACATAGCTGCAGAAAGGGGTCTGAGGTATACTCGCCGCCGTTGTCGGATCGCAACGTCTTGATCTTTCTCCCAGTCTGCAGTTCCAATCTCTTCTTCCACTCCACAAACAAATCTAGGACTTCACTCTTATGCTTCATGGTGTACACCCAACATCGCCTAGAATAGTCATCAACGAACGTGACGAACCAATGTCGACCACCAAGTGATGCCGTCTTAGTGGGACCCCAAACATCTGTGTGCACGTAGTCCAAGATGCCCCTCGTCCTATGAATGGCCGTCCCGAACTTCACCTTCGTCTTCTTGCCAAGTACACAGTGCTCACAGAATTCTACTTTACCACTCTTGGCTCCCTTCAAAAGCCCCTGCTTGCACAATGCCTGCAGTGACTTTTCACCTGTATGCCCTAGCCTGTAGTGCCAAAGTCTGCTCATGTCCGCCTCTGAAATCGCCGAAGCAACCTGGCCAATCTCGGTGCTCCCCTTCAGATAATATAAATTATGATTTCGGACTCCCTTCATCACCACCAAAGATCCCTTAGTAACCTTTGCTACAGCATCCTCAAAGGTCACCCTGAATCCCTTCGCCTCCAAAGCCCCCACTGAGATAAGATTCTTCTTAAGTTGAGGAACGAATCTCACCTCCTTCAGCTCACGGACTACTCCATCGTGCATCCGAATCCTCACAGTACCTATCCCACGAACGCCACAGGATTGATCATTTCCCATGACCACAACACCCCCATCGAGTCTCTCAAATGATGAGAACCAATCTCGCCTAGGAGTCACATGATAAGTAGCGCCAGAATCAAGCATCCACTCCGATGCATCCAAATGGTTCACCTCCGGAGTAATCAAAAGAGAAAAGCTCGAATCATCGGAATCATCGCCTTTCGCAACATTCACCTCATTGGCCTTCGGGCCCTTATTCTTGCTATTCTCCTTTTCTTTGACTTTCGGGCAATCTCTTTTCCAATGTCCCTGCTCCTTGCAGAATGCACATTGATTCTTTCCAAGCTGGTGACGACCTCTTGACTTTGACCTCCCTCTGTTTCCACCTTTCTGATATGAGCTTCTACCTCTCGCCGACAAGGCCTCTCCTGAAGTACTAGCGCGGGAAGTCTCCTTATCCTTCCTCCTCAAATCATAGTTCGTCAATGCGTTAGTCACTTCACTATAAGTGATAGAAGATCTCCCGTTCAGCAACGTAAGCACGAAGGTATCATACTCCTCATCCGGTAAGGAGCCCAAAAGAATAATAGCCTTGTACTCATCTGTGATCTTCTCATCCACGTTCGCCAAGTCCGACAACAACTTAGTGTAGTTGTTCACATGAGCCGCAAGCGAGGTACCTCTGGACATCTGGAATCTGAATAACCTTCGCAGCAAGTGCAACCGGTTCTCAACACTCTTCGTAAGGTACTTATTGTTGAGAATTTCCCACATCTTCATCGCAGACGTCACCCCAATCACATCGTATTTCAGCTCCTGTTCCAAACAGGACCTGATCACCCCGCAAGCATTTCGATTCATCTTTTCCCATATCGCTTCTTCATACTTAGGTGGCCTCACATCGACCATGATGGTCTCCTCCAGATTTTGAGCATTGAGCGCATCCTGTACGTCGCTCATCCACAAACCAAAATTGATCTTGCCGTCATATTTCACAACACTAATCTTAGTGTTCTGAAAACCCACTTGAACTGTGCCTGTCATCTTGCTGCTTTCACCAATTACTTCACCCATAATCACAACTTCCAAATTGTAGAGAAAGATCCAAACTTTGAAAGAATAAGAAATTACCCAACTGAACCCTAGATTGGATTCCAAATAGAACTCCTAACCACACGAGGAAAGCGAGATCTTCAACGGCAACTTCAAACCCTAACTCCACCAAAGCCTAGAACTCCAAGAACCAAGCTTCAAACTGAATCTTCCTCCACCTAATCCAAAACCCTAGATCTGAATCTGAGCTCTGATACCACTTGTCGCGCGCCTTTGCGGAAGCCTTGCACGAACTCACAACGAACCTGTGATCACAAGTCGAAGAAAGCCAAACTCTTGCACAAATCCAACCAATAACGCCAAATCAATCCAAACACAGAGATATACGTGGTTCGGCAATTTGCCTACGTCCACGGGGAGAGGATGGGGAGATTTCACTAAATCAAGGAGAGTACAAAGGGTTACAATCACACAAATTCTCTCAAACTAACCCTCAACCAAAGATCTCACCTTGCTCACAATATCTCCCTCTCACAATGCTCAAAAGATTCCTTAATCTCTGATATTAAACCCTCTCAAATCGTTTCCCTATTTATACCAAAACAAAAACCCAATTAGACTGCAAATAGGAAACCTGCGTATGCAAAAAACCCGCTATAAGTCGACTTAACAGAGGGCGTAAGTCGACTTGGCAGAGGAAAAAACAGCAACAGGAGAGGACTTCATAAGTCGACTTAACAGACATTATAAGTCGACTTGGCAGAGGAAAAAATCACAACTCCGCTGCAGATCGTAAGTCGACTCGTGCACACTAATGAGTCGACTTACCATAAGTCGACTTAGCCTTGTGCATGAGTCGACTTATGCCAGTTTTTCTGGTTTTTCTGATTCTTTTCCTGATTTCTCCACAGGGAGTTGAGTAGTTTCTCTTGTAGTTCTCCCTGATACATAGTGAATTTCTCGTGTTGTTGCCCCGTGGATATAGATCGAAGTTGGTCGACCGAACCACGTAAATTTCGGTGTTCTTTTTTTTCTTGATTATGGTCGTTTTATATCTTGTTGATTGTGGGTTGGTTTCGGAGTTGCGCATATTGTAGTAGGCGGGGAGAGTGAAATTCCCAATAGTTTCTGCAAGAACTCTGATGCAAAGTTCCGGTTAAAATTTTGTAACTTGCAAGCTAGCCCTTATTATTCTTCGAAAACAAGTGTCATAATTGAATGAAACTGGTGACAGTTATCCAACTTTTCATTCAGAAAATCAATATACATGAAATTAAACAGCAAGAAACCTCTAATCCTCGGAAAATGTCAGAAACTAAGATTTAATTAGTAAACTCACAAAATAAAGTATTTCATACCTCTATCAAAAAAGATTTGACATATAAATTGGTTTAGGTTACAGCTTCACATTCTGCTCTCAATTGTGCATTTACATAAAATTGACATGATATTAAAGAGGATCTAGTAACAAGAAGTTAAAGCTAATTTTTGGAGCTGGACTTGATCTCATTCTAGTTGTACTTGATACCATTGCACAGAGCCAACTTCACCATCGATCTCAAGCTCGCAAACAGACCTGATGAGGTGAGTAACAACATCATCAATCGTACCGAATTTGGCTAGATCGGGCGGCAGCTCATCAGAAGGCCAGTTTTCTATCCAAGTCTTCAACCTAAGCTTTAGTTCTTCCTCGGTAACAAACTCTTCGGCTTTTCCAGGTTCCAGCAGCACGTAAGTGTCTGATTTCAGATATGCTCTTCTCCTCCTAACTGCATGAACCTGATATGCTCTTAGTCAGTAGAAGCTATGCTTTATTGACTTAATTGGACACTAATATGATCAACAAGATAATACTCTATTCCAACTGTTGATAAAGTGTCAAACAGTCAAAGTGATCATGTAAGATGGTAAATTGAAATATCTAACCTATAGATCAGAATTCTTTTGCTATATTTTCTGTAAGAAATAAACTATAAAATAGCTGTTAGGCTTGACTAACGAAAAAAGAAACTGCATGTAACTGTGATCCTCTAAATTGAATGAAAATGTCGAAGTACCTTTTTTTCTGACGTGTGGATGGGAGATATGCAATTAGTCACCAATATCCAAGTATGGAGTTGATAAAAGAAACAACTAGCATTCAAGTTAATAAAGGGTGTTCCCGAAAATGCAGTTCTAGATTTATCGAATGAAAGATCGCCAGCGGTTGGGATATAATCTTCTGGTTGGCAAGTTGGTCTGATGGTGAATAAGGGTGCATTCGGTTCGGATACGGCTCGGATATGATGCTTACCATATCCATATCGGTTTACCCATCTCGGAAATGGATACAAATATGGATATACCTTGGTAAGGAAAATTCATATTCATATCCGCTAAAATCGGAATGGTTACTGATATACACGCGGATATATAAGTGGATATGCATGCGGATACAAAACGGATATGAGAAAACTAGACATTATTGAGGAAAATACAGTTCGTGTGATACAAAAAGAGTTTGTTAATATGTTTATTATAACTGAAAATATCTTGATCCATCAAAATTAACCACAAATCCATAATCTAAAAATCAAAACTATCGTAAGAGTATGACTAATATGTATTCGACTATGGATACGGATATTTCACTACAAAATCATATATGTAACTATATCCTATTGGTTATAGATTTGAGTAACCATATTCGTATCCTAACGGATACGGTTACAGATATTTCATCGGATATGGATACGGTTTAGGACCCATTGTGATGAAGGTTCAATATAGTAGAAACAAGCGCGACTAATAATTCTTGTTTGAAAGCACTGATATTTGGAGAGATACTCCTATTTATAGTGCAAGATGCATTCATGGTTTGCACTATGTCAACCAAATAACATTCCTACAATAATCGGGATCCATGATGTACTCAGTCGGGATGACTTTATGCTCTTGATGGGCGAAGACATGAAGTTTTGACTTTTGAGGGTTATGGCAACGATCGAGGAATTTGACTACGTGAGAGGAACAGTGAAGCTGGCTGCAGTTGTGAGACATGAGATCAATCCTTAGTAACTCCAGCTAGCGTGAACATGACTATAGAGCTCTAATTAATCTGCTAATTTGATAAATTGATGCATATTTTTGGATGGTTTTACTAGTTAATCAACAGAAAACATAGAAATCCTCATCTCCTACAGGCTGTAACAATTAACATCAAGATGATACAAAATGAGAAGCTACCACGGGCGAATTGACAATGTAAGATTCACCAACCTGCATATCATGTTCTCATGCTTTTTGGTGCCCAAGATTCAAATTATTCTTTTATATACGGTCGACGAAAAATTGATCTTTATCTAATTATTGTTTTGTTTTGTTGTTTATTTTGAGTCTAATTCTTGTCCTACTTTTGATACAGAAGTAACTCAGTCTGGGTTTATATTGAAACCACTTCTACTCTCCCAAGATGATCATTACTTCTTTACCAAATATCACACATGCAGCTATAGCGTAACGTGACACACAGGAAGCTCATAGACCTTTTAACTTGCACTCTCTCTATTTTTAATTGTTCCTTATTTAAGTTTTAATTACAATTTCAGTATTATTTGTTGACAGAGAAACAATAATTTTAATAAGTGGATGAATTGATGGGTGTAACAGACTAACATGAGTTCTATATAAAGAGAGGAACGGATTGAGGCTAAAGCACATGGCAATAGCATTCTTCTCGATCTCCTCTTTCATTAGAAAATTGAGCTCTTTCTCCTCCGTCCTGTCGAGCCTTTAGCTGTTGAAATCATCTTCTTGGGTAATTTCTAAGACATTGCACCAATTGAATATGTTGATATCTACAGTTAATTAATCACAAAAACTTAGTTAAGATAACCTTAACTTTGAGCCATACTTCATAAAATAACCAAAGTTGTTGTGAAGAAAAGGGTTCAGGTGATCTGATGAAATCTGATGTTTCATGAATTAACCTATGTTCAATGCACCATACATCAACGTTAATTTGTACGCGATGCCTAGTTCTGCTGGCCCCTCACAAGCATATGGGGAGGACCTATGATATTCCAGCTCCCAGTTCAGCTAGTTTCATGACGATATAAACATAATGTAAGCGTTATCCTACTTACCTACATTTAATCCTATCATATTTGGATATTTTCACCTGAAATTTGACTGTCTTACCAATTGTATGAACGTCCACGGGTCATAACTATCTTATTCCAATTTTTAAAATGTCATGGAGAATCTTATATATTATGACCGAGCATCCACCATTCATGGCAGATTCTCAACGTGACAGGGTTGAAGATAAAAAGAGGAGATCGTTTACCTTCATCCGATACTTATTGCTCGGCGCCATTTGTTGTGATTCTAGGCTAGTCCTGCTGCTGAGTATGTTATCAGCTCCGGATATCACATTTTTTGCAAATAGTGGAGTTTCGCTGCAGAAGCTTGGCAACTGTTTGCCTGCAATTATACAAAGAGTATATAATCGTATCTTCAGCATATAATCATACCTCACCATGATCAATAACATAATAAGCTAAGCGGATTAAACATGAAATCTTACCCGCTCATGCATTTATTTAAAATTTCCAATTTATTGGCTTTATCCATAAAAGCAACAATATCTAAGTGCAAAGAAAGTAGACAAAATTATTCATTCTCTTTCAAACTATAATCAAATTTTGGAAGAAATTTACATTTTTATTACCTGGCAGCATTCCGTAGCTCAAGAGATGAGCAGCTCCCCCCATAACAAGTTTTCAAACCCCTTATCCCTTCTCAATCCCCGCATCATTTATACACACAAACAAAACTCTTCCCATTTTATCCCCAACCGATAACGTTCCAAAACTTCCGTTCCCAATCTGCCCCTACAAACTGTCCCCACAGTAACCCGGTTGTTCCAATTAAAGATCCGAAATCTCCCCGGCCTCACATTTTCTTCCCTAAATGCACCTCCCCTCCCCGGCGAAGAATTAGGGTTAGGGTTAGGGTTTTTGATGGGCGGAGAGGAGAAAGTGAAGCTTCTCTGCACCTTCGGAGGCGAACTCGTGAGGGAACAAGGGAAGCCCTTCTATTTAGGCGGGAAAACTCGGCTGGTTTCAATCGATCGGAGCTCGAGCTTCCGATCGCTGATCTCGAAGATGGCGGAGGTCTCCGATGGAGATTCGAGCTCGGTCGATGTTAGGTATCAGCTCCCTGATGGATCTCTTGATCATCGACTAATCTCGGTGGAGAATGATGATGATGTGAGGAATATGATCGAGGAGTTCGATCCAAATCGAAAAATCTCGATCTTTTTGTTCAATCGTAGGGGGAGTTACAGTGATAATGATGATTATGATTATGAGATTGCGATTCAGGAGGAGGCTGATGATAATTTGCATGCTCTTGATTCGATTGCAGCCAATTGTGTGAGGTATTTATTTAGGATTCCGCACGATTTTTTTTCCGCAGATAAGTTTCGTCTTTAGTTGCTTTTGATGGTGATAGTTCAATTCTTCATATTTATCAATTTATTGATAAATCAATTCTATAAGAGAGTATAAGTTATTAAATGTAGTTTTGAAATAAATAAATTGACCAAAATAAGATTAATCTCATAATTGAGAGTGTCAATTTTAACAGAACATATGTGATATCATAATAGATTTTGAAACTAAACTCATAATTTATTTTTGTGACTACAGTGCAAAATATGCAATCAGCTAGATCACAACCCTCATATGTTCAAACTTTTCTTTTCTAATCTTTGTTATTCGTACATTATTTTGTTAATGTCATTTCCTAAATTTAAGCTTATCGTCAGTTAATATTCCTTTAGTAAGTTAGAAAATATTGGTTTTAAATCAATAGATTCATCAAAAGAAGTTTAATCTCATAACTGAAAGTATTTATTTAATAAGAAATCTGTAACCACATAACATATTTGGAGGTAGGCTCATAAATTTTCTTTTGTTACAAAAATTCGAGCTATTATATCAGCTAAAGCATAACCCTCATATATTGATATTCAGACTTTGCTTTTTGTATTCTTGGTTATTCGTCGATTATTTTGCTAATGTCACTTCATAAACTTAAGCTTATAAATGCTTAATATTCCTTTACCATGTTATGAAATGTTTGTTCGAAAAAAATAAATTCACCAAAAGAAGTCTAATCTCATAGTTGAAAGTATCTATATAATAGAACATCTGTGATCTCACAATAAATTTTGCAGGTGAGTTCAGGATTTTTTTGTTACTACAAATTCATGCTATTCTATCAGCTAAATCACAACCATAATTGATTTTCAACTTTTTTCCCCTTCTAATCTTCATTGCTCATGGGTTATTTAGCTAATGTCACTTCATCAAATTAAGCTTATCATTGTTTAATATTCCATTACATTATACTTTTCTATAACTCCTTGGGTTGAGATGTCGAAGTGTATCACTCACGGGAAAATTAATAATGCAGAGAAGCATCAATATCTTAGCGATCGGAAGATGCTTTGGACAGCTCAGGACTCGCTGCCAAGCACTTCTGTGAAATCTTTCAGAAGAGATTATGCAAGAAATCAGGCATTGGTTGTGCACAGCACATCCAAAGAGATGTTTGGGAGAGACTCTCAGTCTCTTGTAGTAGGACAGGAGTATGAGGATGTTCAGACATTTCGCAATGCGCTGACCAGCGCTGCCATTGCTACAAACTTTGAGCTTCACATAATCCGATCGGATCAGAGACGTGTCACTGCCAGGTTTTTCTTGACTTCTTAAATTGTTTTGGTATCCTATTCTATGTAGACGGATGACAATTATATTTCTTTATCTTTTCAATATGCAACTTAGGAATTTGATTGCAAATTTATGCATGCTAGCTATCAAGATATTTAGTTACATGCATTTCATTTCCATAAAAGGATCAAGACCAAATGGAGATCAATAGCTTCTCCATAATATCTATCTCTCTGAGTAATTAAATGCTCCTTGATCAATTATATTACATACGCAATGTTAAGTAGCATGTTTATTTCTTTGTAATTGGAGTGAGAAAACAAACAAATGCTATGGGATTGTTGTATATGTTACTTGTTGCGGAAGCTATGAAAAACTTTTATAAACGAAATGTACTTTGAATGTACAAAGGAGCCATCCTATCAAAAGAAAATGACAGGTCATCGTTCATGTCTGCTAAGACCTCTGCGAAGTTTGATAATAAACTAGAAATTTATTTTCTCGTGGTAGTGGGAAAGATACTATAAGTGGTGCTTTGTGTGTGTGTGTGTGGAGATTAGTCTATGTGTTTTTGTTATTGAACAAAAAAAATGTGCTGTGCCTATAATTTGAATCATTTATAATAAATTCTGCTCAAGGTTACAACCCTTATTCAAGCCCCCACTTTGAGCATGTTTGAGTAGTTGCCAATTAACAAATCAAGAAACTGCTATTGTGACATCTTTATGATAAACCGTCCATAATCATATGGTAAATTGCAGGAACCTCCTTCTGTTGCATGTCTATTCAATGACCTTGCTCACTTTCTTGGCTTTCTTCTATGTGACTCCATCCTAACTTCGTAAGAACCTTGTCCAGTTCCTGGTAGCCCTTTATCTAGTTTACCTTTGTTATCGAGGCGCGCGCCCCCGGCACGGGGCGCTGCAGGTTGGAACAATTGCGCCCCGCACCAAAGGCGGGACGCTGGACGCACACGAGGCGCGCGCCTCGCGTGCACTTGACACATGCGTCATGTAATAGACTCTTTCTTCTGTTTTTAAAAAATAATTTACATATTACATATTTACATCACGTAATAGACTATTTCTTGCTAGTTGCTAATCCATTCTCCGTATTTTCATGTTTAACCTATAAAAAGGAAACAGTAATTAGTAATTTAGTATACTTGTTTGCTAATTATAACTTTCTTCTCTAATTAGCATGCTAACTAGAAAATTATGAACATGTAAATATGTAATGTTACCTTCGTTCTCCATCTTTTCATGTTAACTAGCAAATAGCATTTAAGAATGCTAACTAGAAAATTATAAACAGTCATGTTTTTTTAATCACTTAATTGTTACTTAAAAATACATATATCATATTTTAAATAAAAATACATATTTCTTATTTGTTACTTGCTTGTTTTGTTTTATAGACTTTTGCTTATGTTGGAGATTATCTTGTATTGTGATTTGTGGAAACTTATAAACTTCTCTATGTTATGCATGCTAATTAAGACTCTTTCCTTATATAGTAGGTGAAATTATATTTCTTGGTCTTTTTATGTGACAATTTATAAACATGTTGCTTATATGCTTCTTTGTCTTATGTTGGAAAATATTAATTTGAGTTGTGTACCTCAATTCAGTGAGGCGCGCGCATCGTTGTGCGCCTTGCGCATGGTGCGCTTAAGGGGCCTTTGCGCCCCGCATTGCGCCCCGCATTGCACCACGCATTGCGCCTTGCGCCTCGATAACAATGGCTATATTATTCTTCTCCATTTTCTTTTTAAATGCTCACCAATTCCTTTTATGCCATCCTAATGATAATGGCATGATCCTCTATGTCTGGTAAGGAAGTAAGGCAAGATTTACCATATTAGACGCTTTACTATCTCGGGCGTTGTTTGTAAATCCCGACCTACAATCTTTATCTGCCAACACTGGATAAGAATTAACTCACCAAATATTTAATTTGCCTTAATGTGGGAAACAGTTAGCACTTGAGGCCCTGCCTATTAACACGTTGTGTATTCTTGCCCACAAGTGACTACCTCCGTTGTCAATATATCAGCGCCAATGAAAATCTTCCTTCACTAACACGATCCTCCGTGTCCGATAATGAATTAAGCCAATATTTTCACCATATTACACGCTTTGCTATCTTGGGTGTTCCTTGTAAATCCCAACCTGTAACTTCCTTTATCTGCCATCTCTGGGAAAGAAATAGGCTGCCCAACATTTAATATGTCTCACTGTGGGTGACATTCAGCAGAGGCCCTGCCTATTAACACATTTAATAAGGTCCTTTCATGGCCATAAGTGTTAATGTTTGCCTCCATTGTCAATATATTAGCGTCATCTTCCTTCGATCCATACTCATGAACTTCTGATTAGGCTCCCAGCCTGTATCTTAGTTTCATTATAGAATGCTGTCCCGTTTAGTTTGTGCACATTCTTTATATACTAAGGTTGCTAGAAGCAACCTACGTTACCTCGGTACTTCTATCCTAAAGTCATACCCATACCCAACACCTACTGGACTCCTTGGACAGTTCTATCATGTATCATACCCATATTGGACACCGATACTCCTCGAACACTCCTTGTGTATATGTGTATGTCCTACACTTCATTGGACGGGTGCATTTCAATTCGTACTTAGTTCAGAATTGTAATTTTAAGGTTATTTGGGTATCTTGTTCAAAAAACGAGTGGGTTTCCAATGTATAATCTATATCATAGAAGGAATATAAAAGTGACATGGGAATGTTAATTGTCATAACATGAGAATGAAAAGCTATAACCATTCTTAAGTGAATTATTAATTTCAATACATGTATATAATTGTGTCCCTGTACCTACCTTTTACAATTTTGTTGTGTCCCGTTTTTATCTATATCCTCTTGTGTGTAGTTAGTTATTGGATTTTGGTTTCTTTTCAGCGTGATGTATTTTGTGTCAATCTAGCTAAAGTTGTGTTTCTTATCATATTTCTTTGCTTAGACGGTGGGGGTTTTTTTTTTTTTGACAGATGTGCTGCTGAAGGGTGTTCATGGCGAGTGCATGCATCAAAACTCCCACAGGTGAACACATTTAGGATACGAACATTAACCCCAGAGCACTCATGTGCAAGATCAGGAGATGCCCGCCACAAACAGGCAACTGCGAAGTGGATAGCCAACTGCATAAGGGAAAAACTTCGAAGGAATAGAAACTATAAACCAAGAGAAATTTTGAATGATATCCATCGAGAGTATGGTGTGCTTATTACATACAAGCGGGCTTTCCTTGGTCGCGAAAAGGCTTTGGAAGACCTGAGATCTGAATCGGGCAGGGATACTGTGCCTGTAGAGAATGATTATGATCATGTATCTGAGAATGATATGGAAGCGTGGGGTGAAATACATGATCCCCCCAGAAATAAACGGGCTAGGATGAGTGATAGCAAGGAGGTAAGACCCCTTCATTGTACTCGATGTAACCAAATTGGACATAATAGGAGGACATGTACGGTGATTGAGCTCTTGCAAGGTAAAGTTTTTATGACCTTTTGTTCTAAATTCTCTGTCTACCTCCTAAATGTTTCCCTATGCATAGTGTTTGTTTCTAAATTCTGGCTTTAATGTGATAGATGGATCGAGCTAGAAGATATCCCTGTGCTCTGTAGTCACATAGTCTGAAGGCATTAGTGATGGAAATGTCGTGATTAGAATGTCAGCATTCTGTGCAGAAGATATCACTGAGTTCATTTTGTGCGTGGTTCATTCAAGTGATTGGATCGTCATGGTCACTGTATGATACGGGTTTGTATCTATAAAAATTACATATGTGATCTTCAATTGTAGACCGATACAAATTTCAAATTGAATGGTAGTATATAAAATGATCATGAAAGTCTCTGGTCTTTGCCTATTTTTTCCTCCATGTACAAAGTTCAGTTAGTCTTTTTTATGGATTTCCATACTCTTGAGATTGGAAATGTTGTAGCGTACCCCCTCTCCTGCCACAAGAGAAGATTGTTTCAAGCTAATTTGATGTTGTATCCCTGAACTTAAAATAGGTGTCTGATGTTTGTGATGGTGAAAACTTTTGCTAAATTCAATTTACAATATCTTAATGTATAGGCATACGTCTACTACTTAGAATTTATCCGAAGTCTTAAACTTTGTGATTTGGTTATTTAACATTTTAGAATATCCATATCAAGATAGATATATGTTTTCAGAATGTGGTGATATGAATTGGGAAAATAATTGTGTAGGTGGCGGAGATGTAAGCTTAATCAATAGAAATTAATCCAGGGCCACTTTTTTCGTTCGAAACCTCCTCAACTTTAGAGGTTATCAGAAAACACCCTTTAAGAGAATATTAGAAGTGTGAGCCGCAATTTTCACTAGAAAAAACATACTCTTGAGTAATTTTTGCCACCATGTGAAAAATCACAGTTAATGCTACAAGGTGGTTTTTTGATAAAAAAAATAAACTAAAGGGGTTTTTCTGATAGCTACAAAACTTAAGGTTATTATTATTATTATTATTATTATTTTGACATGTTGAAAGTTGTGGCTGATAATCTTCCAAAGTTAAGGGGGTTTCTGATATTTAGCCACAAATCAACTAAAATAAGGAAAAAAGTAATTATTCTCTAATTGTTTTTATGCTCCAGAGATATATCATTTCTAATTTAATTTCTAACAAACGAGAATTTAATTAATCCGTATTAGATGGATTATTGGGATTTGGACTCAATTAGGGCTCTAGATTTCTTTCTGGGCGCTGATCCAGCAACCGAACAAAGTATGAATACAGTTGGCTCACGTAGTAATGCGGCCCGTGTAGCTCGTGGGTTTCGATTTGCCGCCTAAATTCCCGCCAAATTTTACCTAGCAATAAACAATTTAAAATTCAAACCCACAAAAAAATAAACACCGAATTAAAATTGAAAAGAAACCGCGGGAACAATCTCAAAGTCGAAACTTTTCTAGCCTAAATTTCCCGCCAAATCGAGATCTGCTATATACAGAGAACGAAAAAAAATAAAGAGAGCATATTTTTGTTCTATTCCCTCTCTAATTTCTTAGATCCCTCTTCTCTCAGTCAAAGGAGACCTCAAAAACCCTAGCAATTTCTTGAATCATGGGGAAATCAGTGACCCCCGATGCGATCTCTAAGCTTCTCTCAAACCCATCGCCGGTCGTGCCGTCGGAGATCCCGGAGACCATCGTTCAGGTCGTCGATCTCAAGCCCATCGGCAACAGCACCACTCGATTCACGTAAAGATCCCTTTTCCTCTAATTTTTCCTCTTGATTGTTCCTTCTACTGCTAGCTTCGGTCAGTAGTGTTCGCAGTATTTAGACATTTTGAGTGATGGGGTTTTGGACAGAGAACAAAGATTATTTTTGGGGTTTAAAAGTTTGAGCATTCGTGAAGATAATTGATTAAAATGTTGCAAGAAAAAGTGGTAACATTGTCTTTTTATATTCGATCCGTTAGATTTGAGGCACACGAGATGTTTGTTAAAATTACTACATTAAAATAGATGTTGGCGGATTGCCATCTTGATTCGTAAACTGGTTAAAAAAGTGCCTCGTTTTGGAGTTGTGTATCGACGCTCGTTCTGAAGCTACTACATTTTAGGTGTATACTGATGATCAGGATTTTTGGTAGTTTGCCATATGCCTACTGATTCTTGGCAATCTCATTAGACACTGATTTTTGTGATGTGGGATTAGATGTAGCTCTGGTTCTTTAACTGCCCTACTTAAATTATTCCCCTCTTGAGGTTTGATTCGAGCTGTTTGCTTGAGTTTGTGAAGAAGCCTATGGAATGAGCCCAGGACAATTTTTATTTTAATGGTTAAGAATGATGTTTTTTACCATTTCCTTAGGTTTTATTTTTGCTTACATTTATAGTGACTGATGTTTACATATGTAATCTTGAAGCAGTATTTTGCCTAGTTTTGAATCCTCTTTTATATCTGTAAATTATACTGAAGTTGTCTAATTGATCACAGTATTGATGTCACGTTCAAACCCATTCCATACTTTTTTTCATTCTTGCAGTTTCATGGCTAACGACGGACATAAGAAACTCAAGGCAATGCTTCCATCTCACTTTGCTTCAGAAATCCATTCTGGAAACCTTCAGAATCTTGGGCTGATACGAATTCTCGATTACACTTGCAATTCTATCCCCAACCAACCTGACAAGTAATTCAATATTCGAACATACTCTTAAGATTTATTAATGGATTCATTAAATAGTCACTGACTCTCTTCCCTATACAGGGCCTTGATAGTCACAAAATGTGAGGTAGTTTCTCCTGCACTTGAAGCTGAAATCAAAAGTGAAGTGAAAAAGGAAGACACCGGGATTGTGTTAAAACCCAAACAGGAAATCGTAGCCAAATCAGCAGCGCAGATTGTTCATGAACAACGTGGGAAGTAAGTTACTTATTTTCGAAGCATAAAATTAAAGTTTCTCTGTTATGTGATCTATGAATTATTTGTCGTGACAGCTATAAGTTTAGCGCCTCATCATAGAATAGCATTTCATGCGTATGTACACTTCGATTTTATTCATAATTGCTCTAAATTTCATCTCAGTTCTGCCCCTGTTGCGCGAATGGCTATGACTAGAAGAGTCCATCCTCTTGTTTCTTTGAACCCTTATCAAGGTATCTGGACCATAAAAGTTCGTGTCACTAATAAGGGCAATCTGCGTTCATATAAAAATGCCAGGGGAGAAGGTTCTGTGTTCAATGTTGAACTAACTGATGAAGATGTAAGTTTAATTAATTTTTTTCTTGGACCATGGACGCATGTCTTTTGTTTTCATTATTATATATCATTGATTTGTTTCTTGTTGTTATTGTGCAGGGTACCCAGATACAAGCCACCATGTTTAATGAAGCTGCAAAGAAATTTTATCCTATATTTGAATTGGGAAAGGTCTACTACATTTCTAAAGGAACTCTTAGGCTTGCAAACAAACAGTTTAAAACTGTTCGAAATGACTATGAGATGAACTTAAATGAGAACTCTATAGTTGAAGAGGCAGCTGGAGAAGGGTCTTTCATTCCAGAAACAAAATATAACTTTGCGAAGATTGATCAACTTGGATCCTATGTTAATGGGAGGGAGGTTGTCGGTAATAAGTCATTTTAGCTATATCTTCCTTGGGAAATTCTGAAAATTCTTTGGGTTCTATTTATAATTTTGTTTAAATTTCTCTTTTACCTGTAGATGTAATTGGCATTGTGCAAAATGTTTCTCCTACCATGAGCATTCGAAGGAAGAGCAACAATGAAACCATCCCAAAGCGTGACATCACAATAGCAGACGAATCGTAAGCAATTTTTTGTTTCATTTCTAATTTATAGTTAATCCAGTTGTATATTCTTTACTCAATTTGCACTTAAATCAAATGCAGAAATAAAACTGTGACAGTGTCCCTGTGGAATGATCTAGCTACGGAAGTAGGCCAGGAGTTACTGGATATGGTTGACAAATCCCCAGTTGTAGCAATAAAATCTCTCAAAGTAGGAGATTTTCAAGGTATGAATATTGTGATATCACATGTAAGTACTAAAAAATCTCCAATACAATTAATTCAAGTGTAATACCTTTTCTAGGTGTATCACTGTCTACATTGAGCAAGAGTACTGTAACTATAAATCCTGACTTACCCGAGACGAAGAAGCTTAGATCTTGGTGAGATATCTGTCTCAAATGTGACTTTTTTAACCTTTTGGTATCCAGAAACACTCTTATCGAAATTTTCCAATGAACAGGTATGATTCTGAGGGTAAAGGTACTTCAATGGCATCTGTTGGTTCCGGTGTTAGCTCCACCTCAAAGAATGGATTAAGATCCATGTACTCTGATAGAGTGTTCCTTTCTCATATTACCAGTGACCCAACCTTGGGTCAGGATAAGGTATTAGGCCATTCTTTTGGAGTCAAACAATAAAGATTATTCTGCATGATAATCATTTACTAAACTTTTTCTTTTCTGCAAACAGCCTGTCTTTTTTAGTTTAAATGTCTACATTAGTTTAATCAAGCAAGACCATACAATGTGGTATCGAGCATGCAAGACCTGCAACAAAAAGGTTACTGAAGCTATTGGGTCTGGTTATTGGTGCGAAGCATGCCAAAAGAATGATGATTCTTGCTCTTTGAGGTATACAAGTAATCTTTGTGATAAAAATATAATACATCAATTCCATGAGTAACTACTGGTACTAAATTTAAATATGTTCTTTTTTATATCAGATACATCATGGTAATGAAGGTTTCTGATCCGTCTGGTGAAGCTTGGGTTTCTTGTTTCAATGAGCAGGCAGAGCAAATCATAGGATGCAGTGCAGATGAACTTGATAGAATAAAAACTGAGGTAAAATTTCCACTTAATTTGGAAAGTTTTGGAAATTTAATGTTGTTTTCTTAAATGCATGTGGTAACCTCGTCGTAAAAATTAAATGTCTGTATTCAGGAAGGGGAAGATAGATACCAACTCAAGCTAAAAGAGGCTATGTGGACTCATCATTTGTTTCGAGTTAGTGTTGCTCAGACTGAATATATGAGTGAGAAAAGGCAGAGGATAACAGTGAGGTCTCAATCCCCGGTTGATTACTCTGCAGAATCAAGATATCTGCTTGAAGAAATATCAAAGATGGCTGTTGCTTAAATAAAGAGTTTACTGCCATTGTTAAGTTAAACTAGTTTTTGATGTGTAAAATGGTAAATTCTTACCTAATGTTGTTTTCTTCAGAAGTTTGGATGAAACATGGAACTAATTAACTTGTAGGTTTTCTTGCTCGGTGTAGCATACACCGGTGAAGTTTATCCTCAGTGCGCATATCTTATGAAATGTGTTTATTTCTCAGAAATATGTTTATTATATTATTATGCGTACTACTATTAGATGCTACCTAGGTTCTTGCTTATGAGTTGATTCTGCTACCTGGTACAGTGAACTGAGATATTTGAGTATTAGCTAATATAGCAGACTGGTTACAAGGAGCTTATGTTTATGAAAACTTTACAAGGCTAGCTGGTAATATTACATAGAGAATAAAAAGCACATTCATATGAATGAACCACTGAGTGAATGGAGTAACAATGAGACTCATCTAATCTTGTTCGTTACATCAACTAGATTGATCTCATCATTTTTTATCTTTAGGTAGCTTATTTTGTTAAATGAGATGATAATACATATCCAACATTCCGATATAAGAAAGCTAGTATCTATTAAAGTGGATAAATCTTTGTTCACCTAACCTTTTAATTGTTAAACTTGATTGCATCAAAATTAGTCAGAAAAACTTTTTAACTGCCATGGTAAACATGAACTGAATAGAAAAAAGTGAGAAGACAAAGCACTATTCTTTTTCAAAGCCTGTTAATGGTGAACGGTGAACCTGACGACCATGAAAGTAGCAATTATAGCAAATAAGCACTTCGGTTGAAAAAGGTCATGCCTCAAAATAGTTATCTGGAAAACATGTCCAAATGCTTGACTTGGCATGGAAATCTGGATCTGGATTGGGCAAAACACCCTGCTCAGACCCAGCCTATATCTATCGGGCCAAGACCAAGTGCAGACCGGGCATCGGGCTGGCCTTGATACTTTATTTTCGGATTTTATGTTGTTTTGGTTAGAAATTTGTGATTTTTTTGTAATAGAAATTTGTGATTTTTTTTGTAATAGAAATTTGTGATTTTTTTGTAAAAAAATTTAGATATTTTGCAATAATAGATGTAACTTAGGTCACAAATGACCCAAGATACCCTCAAAATTTGACCTTTTTTTATTCGTTTTTACGATATTTTGGTCAAATGACCCAAAAATAGCTATTTATGATCGTTTTGGGTTTGCTCTAACTGGACCGGGCGTGGATGCCTGGTCCCAATAGCTAGTTTTTTAGCCTTTGGCGAGGGCTTGGCCCGGGTCAACCCTAGTTTTTGACCTAGACCTGGTCCCAGCAGCTAGGTTTCTAGCTGTCAAGGAGCGCTGGGTTTGAGTAGCCTGGACCCGGCCCAAGGTACATGACCTGGTGTCATGACATCTTGGATCGGGTCAAGTCAGAGTCGGGCACTAGCGAAGGTACTTGGACCCGGTTTCGGAACCTAGTCGGATCCTGTTTTTCCGAACTTTTTTCAGGCCTAGAAAAAACCAGGCCGGATCCGGGTTGCTGGCTTTTTGGATAACCTTATAATTAGATGTCATCAAAAATTTCCTAGTAAAGCATCCCATGTTGACTTCTCAACAGAGAAAATTCCTATTGATAATAAAGAAGACAAATTGTTAGCAATTTTACTCCCCTATTATGATCTCCACAACCTCGAAATCAAACCACAATCAACAAGATTGTAACAATAACAATCAAGAAGAATACTGATGTAGAGAATCGTTCTTTCTCAATTAGTGAAAAAAAAAGAATATGAAAAGTTATAACTGAGTTTCAGTAGAGTTATTACATGGTGTTAATTACAATTAAGATAGGGGTTATGGAACTCAAAAGCCATAGGACTTTATAAAGCTGATTCCCATGATTTTCTTTCTATAAAGAAAACAATATAAAAGAAAAGGCTTTGGAGATCATAGAGAGAAAAAAAGAAAGGGAGTTGTTGATGGTTGATATCAAACAGTCAATGAGAGAAGTTATTTGGTTGACGGAGGTCCTCTAACCCTCCGAATGTTCAGTTCTGAAGTGGGTTGTTCTTCCCTGCACAGGTAGAAAATCGTAAGAGGACGGCGTTGGGTTCTCCGGTTGTTCCTCCAACAATCAAGTTAGTAATTTGCTTGAGTGTAGAAGTAACTGAAATGTAGAATTTCTTAAGCACTGTAATCTTACCTTTTTGTTGAAAATAGTATCCCTCTTTATAGTGGTAGTAGAGGGGTAGGATGATAACTTTGACCGTATATGGGCTGACGGTCAAGTCAGCATCTACTTTACAGGTGTCGGTCGACGAGTGGATGGGAGATCACTTCCATGTTTAATATGAAGTGACTAGAGGTATGCGGTGCCGACGTGGTCCGATGTGTCATAAAGACTATTAAGGATAGAGAAATGATGGCACAAATTATGAATTTAATGGTATTTATTGTGAGGTGATCAGCTGTCAGTGCGCGGGATGGGGCTCGAGGCTTGAGGTAGTCGTCACCTTTCTACTCGTCCGGTAGAAGGTCAAGAAGTACCACCTTTTGAGTCACATTCGCGAGATGTCGGCCGAATGGTCGGTCGAGTATGTTGATCAAGAAGTCAACCTAGCCAAGGGTCGACATGTAATGCCTTTTGAGTTGCCCTCGTGAGATGTCGGCGTGTCGAGTCGTCCAAGCTGAGTCTTTGGTTATCTTAAAATGAAGAGCTGACTCGATTATGCATAATGTGGGATACTTATCTTCTATTGATTAGAGATTACTTTTTAGCACTAAAATGACTATAACAGTTAGCCCCTTTTACTTGGAGTCAGCCTAGGCCGGGTCCGAGTAAAATGACACAGGTCTTGCTGAGTCACGAGGAGTATTAATGAGGGGGATCTGAAAAGTTCTTCGGATGCGACGTGGTTGACGTTAGTGAACACTTTTCTCTGTTTGTTGAGATTGGTGATTTGAGATGAGTCGGCTCTGTATGTTGAAGTAACTCAGGTGTGTGCCTTGGACTTCATGAGGGCGCAAAGGTCTTTTTGTCGAAGTCGAATGAATGGTTGGAGTGCCTTGATTTTACCCTAAAGAGGTACCAAGGTCTTGGTGTCAAAGCCGACCGAGTGGTTGGGCTCCATGCCTTGGGTTTATTCACGATGACACCAAGATTTTAAGGTATGTGTCTTGGACTTAATGAAGGCTCCATGGTCTTTTTGTCAATGATACGAGTTGTCGTGTGAGCACCTTTGATCGCGGAATTATCAAAGGTGGGTAGAGGAGAAAACAATAAGAACACAAGAATATCTCAGGTTTTGGGCGAAGGAAAATACCTTCTCTAGATTATGAGTATGCAATTTACAATCTCTCACAATCTCACTCTAGAATTGAAGAACATGCTCTCCAATTCTCAAATTACAATTTTAATCTCTCTTGATTAAACTATCTGATTGTTTAGAAACCCTAAAACAATCCTTTATATAGGTGTACAAACATGGATGGCAATTTGGTAAATAACCAGACCCCAAACCAACAGGAATTCGTGTGAACAGAAACCCAAACGAACCAGGAAACCATCGATGAGTCGACTCATGACTGAGATGAGTCGACTCGTCAGAAACTGGACAAAACTCAAAAACCAGCGATGAGTCGACTCATGACAGTCATGAGTCGACTCAACCTAATGAGTCGACTCATGACTGTTATGAGTCGACTCACAGGCTGAAAAATGGATACTTCGATTCTTCTGCTCGTTGTCTCTTTCCACGCTTCCTCCTGTGTTCCCTTGTACTGTTTGACACATCTATTCTCATGCTATCATGAAAATTATCTATCCTCAAGCTCCCATGAGGATCACTAAGTTCCGAAGAGAAGATACACCCGTATCAGTCAAAACCAAATGGTTGGAGTGCCTTGGCTTTATCTAGAATAGGTACTAAGGTCTTAGTGTCGAAGCTGACCGAGTGGTTGGGCTTCGCCTTAGGTTTACTCACTATGACATCAAGGTCTTAGGGTACGTGCTTTGGACTTAATGAGGGCGCCAAGGTCTTTTTATCGAAGCCGAATGGTTAGAGTGACTTGGTTTTATCCTGAAGAGGTACCAAGGTCTTTGGCTTTATCTATTATGTTTACTCCACTGGATGACAGCCCTGCTTAGAACCCTAATAGCCACTGGGCAAAGAACCCAAGCAGAAAGGCGGGGCGGGGGTGAATAGGGTTTATGCTAATGTAATCCAATTTAATGTCAATTAAAACTTACTAACGAATATCCTAGCAAATAAGATATGCAATGAATTATTAGCAAGGATAAGCAATATAAACAAAGGTAAACAAAATAGTGGATAATATAAACAAAGAAGCAATGGCTAAATAAGATGTACAAAAAGAGTGCGCCAATGCTAACACAAAAAAGCAATATAATTACGGAGTTCGGACATTCCGTCCTACGTCTCCGCTCCCCACTCTCGGGGAGAAATCCACTACATAACTAGGTTTTCAATGCTCACCCGAATAACGTTTACACCTCACACTTTGTTTTCTACCTCTGCGAAAACTTTACAATCAACACTCTTGCAAACACACTCTACACCCTCTAAGTGTTAGTCCCTAGCCCGTATCTCCCTCAAGTGCTTGGATTTACAACTTCTCCCTAGGCTTTACTACCGATGTCACTCCTCTTCGGACGACCCCGTCTCTCACCACACACTCTTCTTGGTGTGCAAGTGTATTACAAAGTGTATCCTCACAATAAAAGCTTAAATACAATAATTTGTTCTCTACTATGGATGGAAACACAATGAAAGCTCACTCTCTAAGTCACAAATCCATAACTCCAAATTATACTATGTATGTAAATACAATAAGCTCAATGGTTGTGTGTGAATAAAGAAAAAATCAAACATAAACTCAATGTAAACACTAGCTTAATGAAGATGATAACCAAAAATAATTAATGCAAAGCAAATATTGAGTTTAGAAATTTTTTTCTGAAAAACAAGATGGAGAGATGGAGATTAAAGCTCAAATAATGAAGATGATCTCCTCCACTTATGAAAACTTCTTCACAAACCAAATAAACACTAAAACAAACTTAAACCCTTGTTAAACTTTTGTAAACTTGTATAAACAATTTTCTTAGGTGGTTGGAGAGATAAATGCAATGTGGTATTTATAACCTCACAACATACCAGCCCAAAGCCAAAGAAAATGACCAAAAATCCAAC